AGAGTGTTGGTGCCTTTGTCAGAAGAGGGACATTAGGTAGAGATGTGTGTTTGAGGGAGAAAAACGAGAGAGCTTAGTTTGAGATGTATTAAGTCTATGATGTCTCAGGGGCATCGACTCTGAAATGTCTAACAGGCAGCTGGTGGTGCAGGACTGAAGCTCTGGGGAGAAACCAGGGATAGATCTTTGGATATCTGAGTCCTCCATATAGAAAACTCATGGAAGCTGAGGGTGTCACCAAGAGAAAGAGTTTTGAGAAAGAAGAGAAGCTTGAGAAACACTCACAAGTCTGGGATAGGATAAACATGAGAAGCCAGCCAAAAAGATGGATAAGAAGTGGTCAGGCAGATAAGAAAACCAGCTGAAATAAGCAGAAACAGAAAAACAACATATACAAGTCCTACAACTATATAAATAATAACAATAAAATAAATGAAACTGAATACTGTGTAATTATAATAACCAACTTTGGCCTAAAAGAAGAAAAATCAGAAGACATCTCCTCATGTGTCTTTGCAGAGGTGAGGGACCATGGGTTCCAAATACTGCATGCAAAGTCAGACTTTTTTTTTTATAAGTTTCTGTGCTGAACTTTTTTTTCCTTCTATTTAAAAAATTCTTTATTCTAAGGAATAGACCTCTGGGAAGAGGTCAGGAAGGGATTCATTGGGAAGCATAGGCAATATAAAGTCAAAAGACATAGATAAGAATTTTTTTAAAACACTACAGTCAAAAGCAAAATGACTTCTTATATGTGATATTAGACATGATTGCTTTTTTAGCCATCTTTGCCTAACTATTTTGATCTGTTATTTGTTGGGGGGGGGGGTTGGGGTTCTTTTGGCTAGGCAATGGGGTTAAGTGACGTGCCCAAGGTCACACAGCTAGTAAGTGTTATGTGTCTGCGGCCAGGTTTGAACTCAGGTCCTCCTGAATCCAGGGCCGGTGCTCTATCCACTGTGCCACCTAGCTGCCCCACATTTTGATCTCTTATAAGAGAGGGTTCATCAGTAGGGATAGGGAGTAATCAATAAATGACTATAACAAGAAAACAAAACAAAATGAATTAAAATATTTCTAACCAACAAAATTATGGTCCTTTATCAAGAGAGCTAGTTCAACAATCAAGTTTTTAGTTCCTCATTCACAAGGATGGAGAACACAGATAAACTGCCCTTTCCACCAAGTATGGAGTTCTGGCAAGAGTGCTGAACTTGAGGATCTGAATTCAAATCCTGATTCTGGCATTTATTACTTATGTGACCATGAGCAAGTCACTTCATTTCTCTGACCTCATTTCCTCACTTGTTGAGAAAAAAAAATGGCGATGACAATGCATTTAGAGCATGTCCAATTATGATAAAAATATAAGCAGTTATTATTTTCAATTCCTCCATGCTCACTTCCTGAGCTACTTTGTATCCGCTGAGTGCCCCTCCCTCCAGAACCAGTTCAGGCCAAGCATGACCTCACCCTGAGTCCCAGCAGTTCTCATGGCACCTCAAGAGTTGGGAGGGCTCCATAAAGTGGATGAATCATGGTCAGTTGTGTCATAGGGCTCCTGCCACGAGTACGGGTCAGGAAACCAATCATATCCTGGAGGCCCCGCCATCAACTTGCCCAAACTGTCCAATCCCACACCTCACATAATGACCCTACCACAACATTAGCCAGTCATGAATACTAATCATAAAACTTTAAACACCTTGCTTACATGTAAAAAATGGCAGACTTTGTAGATATTTGGAGGGGGGAAGACTAGGACAGATTCATTTCATTAGACTTAATTTCATCAGTATAGGGAACTCTAGATGTGTAAATTCCCTCTTCAGATAGAAGACTTGTCTATACCCTAGGGTTTTTGCAGATTGCCTGGGACTCTGAGAGAGATTCAATAATTTGCCCATGGTCACAGAGCCCAGATGTCATTATGTGCCAAAGATGAGATTTAAACCCATGTCTTCTCGCCTCCAGAGCTATTTCTCTATCTACCCCCAACAGCAAATCACCATCATCATCACAGTTAGCATTTATATAGAACTTTAAGGTTTATTATAAAGTGCTTACAAATACCTCATTTTATCTTCACAACCATCTTGGGAGGCAGATGTGGTATGATATAACATGGCACGACATGACATGACATGATGCCATATGACACAGTATAAATAGCATAACAATATAAAATAGCATAATATAAAATAACTTATGAAGGAAGGAAACATTCATTAAGCACCTACTATGTGCTAGGCACTGGGTTATAAATATTAACTCATTTGATCCTCACAACAACCCTGAGAGGTAGGTGCTATTATTGTTCTCTATTTATAGATAAGGAAACTGAGGCAGTCAGAGTCTCAGTGACTTAGCCAGGGTTAAACAGCTAAGAAGTATCTGAGGGAGAATTTGAACCCAGTCTTTCTGGCTGTTCCTCTCCACTGCTCCATCTAAAGCTGCTGTTTTAATCTTAACACTAATGGTCAAACATTTTGAATTCACAAACACACTCACAACTGACTTCATTAATTGCCTTATTTCATACTTTAAAAGCCTGAGTGAATGTTTATGTTCCTTTTATTTCTGTCGTTATCTTAATTTCAGGGGAAATTCCCCTGAAAATCGAGGGAAATACTTCAGGAAATTCATTTTTCAGTCACAGCCCGAAGAAATGCCATGTCCAACATCCTATTACAAGGTGCTATCAACCCCTGCAGACCTTACAAAACCGAGCATATGATTTGCATCTCCTGTGAACTGCGCCAAAACAGCCTTCTCAAGGAAGAAGGAAAAAAAAGAAAAAAGCCCATTACAGTCTATTCTCAGAAATTTCCCAGTTCATTCCCATCAAGACCTACCTTCATTGTCCTAAAGGAAAAGCAAGAAGCTCAGGGAACTGGTGGATTTCTTATATCTATGTGTTCTCTCGGTTAATATCTTTATTCCCTTTGACATTTGGACACCAATGCAAATCACTGCAAGGAAGGTTTAATGGGACATGGGACAAAAGTCCAAGGATTTGGCTCCTACTACTTTAAAAATGTTCCCACAGCCATAGAATTAAAGGACGGGGAACTCAGGAAACACTATGAAAGCAAAAAGAACCTATAGGAATTCCTTTTTTTCCTAAGCAACGCACCAGGCAAATGTTCGTAAATCAGACTCAGAAACACAGGAATGGAGAGATGTAAGAAGGGGGGAAGGAGTTCATGGCAAGATAGAGCGCTCCTTTGCCCTGAGATATCTCAGAGGGCAGCTGAGTGTCCAAATGGAACTTTCCAGGGAGCCATGAGGAATAACACAGACACCAATATGCTTCTGGGCAGTCCTGCACATTTGAGAGGGCCCCTCTTTCCTAGGTCCTATCATTTGGTCTACAACAGGGGTTCTTAACCTAGGATCTACTAATTTTTTAAAATATTTTTGATAACCGTATTTTGATAGAATTTGGTTTTCTTTGCAATCCTCTGGATTTTTATTTTATGCATTTCAAATCATTCTTCTGAGAAGGGGTCTGTAGGTTTCACTAGACTACCCAAAGGGTCCGTGACACACAAGAGGTTAAGAAACCCAAATCCAAAATAAAACACTGTTGCAGACCACACTAACCCATCACCCCCTCTTCTCAGGCACCTCAGTCTTCCATATTCAGGCTGCTGTAGGCACAAACCAACCCCAATGTGGCAATAATCATGGCAGAGTCTCCAGTAAATAAACAGCCCGTCGGGGGATTCCAGTTGCATATGGTTAATTTCCATGTACGATTTTGTCATTGATGCTGTTTGCTCAATTTTATCTTGTTGGACCCAACCTGGGATTTCATTGTCATAGGAGTTCCCAAAGAGGAAATTTTCCTTTCTGATACAGGTTCTCACCTTCTCTACAACCTAGAAAGCAGATGCCTGGGTTACCGACAGGTCAAATAATCTGCCCAGCGTCATCCAGCCAGTACACTACAGGAGAGAGATTTGAACTCAGGTCTTCTTGACTCCAAACCAGCTCTTTCTCCACTACTCCATGTTGCCTCTCACATTTAAGAATTTTATCATTTAATAGCATTCTATTTTCTCTTTTAACAATTATTTTATTATACACTAATTAAGTCTTGCAGCACCAAGCGTCTACCCACTTTGTAGATGAGTAGACACAGGCAGACAAAATCTCACAGAAAAAAAAAGTTTAAAAAAGAATTCCTGAGATAAAGCACAAATTTTATTTGGTCCATAAAGACCACAATTAGTCACGCAGGCTCCTAGAGAGTCAGTGAAACTTCTTCCCTTTTCACTGAGAGATACAAGTCCACCTTTTTTTTTTTTCAATTATGAGCCAGCCCCAATTCCCATTCTTAATCCCCTCGTCAGAGACCCATTGTGCCAACAATGTTGACATCACTCTGGTATCAGTCTCCCTTTGTAACATCTGCTTGTCTACACTGTAACATACAAGAGAGAATATTTATTAGCAAGCATTGCCAAGTACATTTATATAAAGCTAGCAGCTTCTTTGAATTAGTCACTTACCGGTGGCTGGTTAATATTATCACACCAACTAATTTTTTTTAAAGGGATCCTAACTAACACTGGCACTTGCTTCAAAATCACATTCCCAGAGTCCTCAATTTGCATTAGAAGGGGCTTTAGAGATCACTTAGGAAAAGGTAACATCAAATTGACCAAGGTTCTGACCTCAGAATGAAGTTCTAATTCTAATCTCTCTCTCTGTCTCTCTTCCTCTCTGTGTGTGGCTCTCTGTCTCTGTCTCTGTCTCTCTGTCTCTCTGTCTGTCTCTCTCTCTGTCACACACACACATCCATACATACACACATACACACACACACACACACACACACACACACACACACACACACATACTAGACACAAATGACTCTAGGGAAGAGCTTTGGTTTCTAACTTCAGAGATATCAGCTGAATTGAGTGTGTGAATGTCCAGACATAAACAAACATACATATAGAGATGCACAAGCCCCCACCGACAACACTCACCTTCCACTTCCTCTTCATCACACACGTGTTTCAGGAAGGAAGCCCCTCTGTCCAGGACGGCTTCATCCTCCATCCTATAGTAATAGAAAAGAAAAAACGAATGCTCAGATTTCTCCTGGAGAGAGCCACTAGACGTAGCCCAGCTTCTGGGCAGGTTGACCTGCTGCGCGTTGCCGTTCATATCAGCAGCAGGCCACTCACTCTTCTCTCTTCTCCTACTACTCTGTTTTGGCTGCTTTGAAGGGGTGTTCAGGATTACACCGGCCCCACATAGCTCGAATTCTAGAATTAGCAAGTGGAGGAAGGGTAATCACAGACCAGCAGAGGGTTTCCCCCTCCCCACCCCCAAGCACTCTGGTGTGTTTGCAGAAAGCAGACAAGAAAGCAGAGAGGAGAGGAAGTTTGGTATGTCTGCAGAAACGAGCGCTGATCGTTTGTGGAAATCCAGCATCAGCGAACAGCTCTGATGATACCTGCTGCAGAAAATGTATACACTCACACGCCCCCCCTATGCACACCCACCCACATGCAGAGAGAGAGAGAGAGAGAGAGAGAGAGAGAGAGAGAGAGAGAGAGAGAGAGAGAGAGAGAAAGACCGTCTAACGCACAGTGGGAGCCTAGCCTTCAGCCAGCCTCTTAATACCAGCAAAACATAGGCTTCTGTCAAGTGGCAAGCTTTGAGTCACATGTTGGCCTTACAGAGTTCTGACATCTGAGGATTAATCTGAGACCCAGCTCTAACAATAGTCGAGCCATCCTAGCGGTCACTCAGACATGTCACTCATTCATTCACTTTCTTCCCTCTTCTCACTTCAGGGTTTCCTCGTGCCGGCCCTTTAACTGTCTTCCACGGGGTACGGCATTCTTAGTTGAGAGCCATATTCTGCAGCTCTCCTGTCATATTACATAATAGGATCTACTCTGCATTTTCACATGCTAAATAAGACCTCATGAGCCTTCCAAGTCTTGACAGCATTTTTAGGCTGACCGTTGCCAAGCACATTTCTAAGTTTACAGTACGAATTAAGGGTTATTTTCATACTCAGAGCCTCCTTTCTTTAACTGTATAAACTTTAGTAAGGAGAATTCCATGAACTCCATTTATAGTGAAGCTAGGAGAGAAATCACTCATGAGCTCTGCAGGGGCCAAAGAGAGGATTTTATAGTCTACTTGTCAAATCCAATGTACCGTTCACTATTGTAGATCTGTTTTTCTTAAATTTTTAAAATATTTTTAATTTTTAATTTTTAAATATTTTGCTTTAAAAAGAATGACTACCAAAGGTCTAAATCAGAAATTTGTTCTAATCAATCCATCAATAAGCATTTATTAATCCCGTACTAAATGACAGGGATTGCACACACTAAAGGAAAAGACAACATATAAACAAATAAAGACATGCGAGATCATATATGTGGATGTGCAGTGTAGGAATATTTCCCTATATTCCCATCTTCCCTAAGTGGCTTGTCATTAATCAGCTAGAAACGTGGACAATTCCTCCCCTGAAGTCCTGGGGCCAGCATCCAACTCCTTAACTTGGGTTGTCCTTATTCCATTTGCTACATGCAAACCACAGAAAAATGACCCAAACAGGACCACTAGCTAGCTAGTGGCATTGAACAATGGAAGAGTATTGACTCAAGTCAGAGGACTTGGATTCAAATTCTGTCTCCACCACTCTCTGTCATGGGCAAATCATTTCACCTCTATGAAACTCAGTTTCCTCAACTGTGAAAAGAAAGAGTTGGACTAGATGACTTTGAAGGTCTGAAGCTGTGATCCTTTGACACTGGAGTCAGAGAGCCTGGGTTCAAATCCAATCTCTGACACTAATCTTAATGCCCTGGACTTCAGTTTCCTCAATGAGTTGGCCTCTGAGGGCCCTGCTAGCTCTACACTAATATTTGCCCAACCTGACACGCCATCACCAGCCTCTGTGTAGTAGGGCAAGCCATGTCCCTGCTTGAACTGTAATCCCTTCTCATGTCCATCTTTCAAAATCCTGATCTTCCCAGAAGGCCCAGCTTACATGGTAGTTCCACTGTACCTTTTCTGAAGGTACACTGAAAATTTTCTCCCTTTTGTCAGATCTTCCTAAAATATTTTGACTGGATCTCTCCTCTGGCCACATTATCAAGCATACTACCTTGTATATTACCTATGTATGCACATGGCATATTCTCCCAGCAAAATGAAAGTAAACCCCTTGAGAGGCAGGGCTCAGTCATTTGTTAGCATTCAATGTCCACCCACAGAAGGCACAGAAGAGATGCACTTGCTGAATCAAAACACAAAAGGAGATGCCTCCAGTCCAGCCAATGCAGTGTGGTCCTGCCTTACCAAGGACCTCCACCAGCCCAAGAATCAAAATTCATTGATATTACATTTTTTATAGACCCAAGTAAGGATGACAGCTCAACAATGAAATTATCTCAGCAGATGTCCAAAGCATGGAATGTCCCTGGACCTGGCGATTATTCCAGGCCACCTATTTCCATTGTTCCACTTACTGGACAAGCAAAGTAGTTTAATCGACCTTCTTTAGATTAAGACTGAACAAGCGTGTGCCAGGCACTGTGCTCAGCGCTTTACAAATCTTACCTCATTTGATCTTCACAACAACCCTGAGAGTTAGGTACTATTAAACCCCCATTTTATGGTGAGGAAACTGAGGCAAACAGAAGTTAAGTGTCTTGCCTGGGGTCACACAGTAAGTTTCTCAGCCCAGACTTGAACTCAGGTCTTCCTTTTTCCAAGTCCAGGGCTCTGTCTACTGAACCATCTAGCTATTAGCTTTCCTCACTTCAATATTAACCAACAAAAACCAACATTCCACCTTGGAACACTTCCAGGTCCTCTAAAATTTTCCTCCACAAAATCTAAATTTGTTCAACATTGAGCCTATAATTCCCTAAAGCAGAGGTTAATTTGTTATATCTGTATTTTCTCCAATCTTCCATGCAACAGGAGGAAGGTGGAGGAAAAAAAAATGTGTTATCAGTTACAGGGGAGGGAGAAAAGAAGGGTTAAGAAAGGGCTAATTCACACATTCAGACTGCAATTCAATGTGGAGAAACCATCATGTCTGGGTTCCTTCTGAACTACCAACAGACAATAATTCCTAGAGCATTCTTTGGCTATTTGATAAATGGTTTCGTTTTCCTCCAAGACCATATGTAGCAAGGAGTCAGAAATTCACTCAGGGGAAATCAACTCCTGTGACTGCTGCAGACGTGGACCCCACATCATATTCTGAGAGCTGCCCCTTCTCTGCAAGAAGAGATAAGATGCCACATTCTGCAAGCATGAGTATAACAGACTAAAAATATAAAACCTGGGCACATACAACATGCATGCTCTCAGTCCACTCCACCATTCATTTTAGACAACCACACATGGTCTCCTACACCAAGGGAGTAGATGGAATCCTAGGCTTCCTTCACCAGTGTGCCATGACTGTTAATTGTTTGGATCCAGAGGATTTTCCCCTCTTTGGTTCTAAAATTCCTTGGGATGTTGTTATTAGAACAGCTGGAAACATCTCTTTAAATGGTACGTATTTTCCATCCTAACTCGATGCCTTGTGTAACTTTACCCATACAGCCCCACAAACATTCCTGAAACATGCCTTCCAAACTACTTGTGCATTTTGCTGGAAAAGAGAAAGGGAGGGAGAACTCCCTCGCTGAAGGGTGTTCATATCACAGGCAAGAGTGAGTTCAGAATAGATTTGGAAGCCTCTCACTGGCATCACGGGGATAAGGGTCATGTTAGTCTATCTTATAAAATTTACACTGAGCCAATATAGGCTTCTTGCCGCATGGACCATGACAGCAAAAGTTATAGCCCTGCTATATAAATCCACACCCAAAATGGAATTTTTCTTATTCTCTGTTATTCCGGGAGAGAAAATCCATTGGAGCGGAGCACATGTCTAAATCGGCTGCCAAACCTATCATCTCTTCCCTGGGGCCAGCTTAACACGGAACAGGCTCATCAGGGGGACTCAAGCCCATCACAGGAAAGATTTAGGGAAAGCATGAGCCATTGACTACAGGACCCCTGCTATATTCTGTCCTCCCAATAAAGCCTGCCCCTAAATGTCCTTGCTGACTGCCAACATGCTCCCCAGCTGGTCCACCCAGAGCAGGCAACTGCCAATCAGCCAGTCAGCACGCGGCAGGCTGCCAGCACCCAGGCTTCAGAACGTAAGCCTGCCCCAGCACATTACTGTTAAAGGTTGAAGGTCTTTGGGCTCACTAGCCTTTAGACTCTCCTCAGTTACCCTCTCCATCCACCCCTCCCTTCCTGTGGCCCCTTTTGTTTACCTTTATTGTAGTAGCACTTGGTTATAATTGTACTCTGCCAACCTTTCTCTCCTTGCCCAGGCACTTAAGAAGAGGATGAACAAGGAAATGGCACCTTCCACCCAAGGTGGTCCCCTATCTAAATCTGAACCTCACTGCCTTTGGCTCACCTGAGAGAGCTATGGAACTTGAGGTACTCAGGGGCAACTTCAGAAGAGGAAAAAAACGTACCTTGTAACCTAGGGCAGAGGGTCTTAACCTTTCTGATGTGTCTCTGGCCCCTTTTCCTGAAGCCTATGGACTCCTTTTCAGAATGGCTTAAAATAAAATTAATAATGATTTATCTTCATAAAATTAAAGTGATGTGATTAATCATTTTCATTTAAGACATTAATTAAATTTAAAATTCCTAAGATAGTATTGAAATGCAGTTATCAAAATACACCTACTCTAGGGCATGACCTTGTGTTCCTCTGTGGAAAGGATTTATTCGCCTCTTTCCACCAACAACTACTCCCACATAACCATCCCACTTCCTCCCTTACCCTGGCTTACCATCCCCTCCTCCTGCAGGTTAAATTGGAAGTTATATAAGGATCAAGTTAATAATAGGATTTACTAATTCCTCTCCCTCCCAAAAAACTCACCAAGGTTATGGTGTGCAGGGGACAAAATGACTTTCTCTTTTCACCACACTGAGTCCACAGTTGATAACACTGATGATTTTCTAAATCATTTTTATGGTATAAAGTTTATTAGTTAA